GCGTGGGGTGGGGGGGAGCACAGATGTGTGCAGCTGCACTCATCCCAGTCTCTCTCATAGGAACGTGTTATATTTATATAATAGACTATAGGAAAATTTTATTCTTTGCTGGATCATTGATTATATCATCTAGGGTTCAAACTCTGAGCTCTTGCTACAGCTGTACCATTTACGGTCTTAGAAGAAAAGGCTTCCCACTCTGGAATCTAAGAGACAGGATCGGCTGAGGATGGAGGTCCCCAGTGTCTAATTGGCCTGGCTGCACAAGGCCATGTGTAAATGCGTCCTTTGTCTTTTTCAAACTATTGTCTCTAACTGTTGTGTCTTTAGCTCCCCCAGGTCTAAAAGCCTAGGACAAAAACACACCAAAAGGCTAAAAATGTAGAAAAATTCTTTGAAAAGTATACAGAAATATGATGGTTGTCTAATGCCCTGCTATATAGCACGTGACCCATCATACCAGGTTGATGATATTGTTATAAAATATTATTAGATGGACCTTCCTAAGTGATGTCCCTTCCTCATTCTCAACTACCTTCACACTCATTCTTTTTAATGTTTTTGGTAGCACTTTTAATGTGAGTGACTTTGTCCCTTTACCTACACACACACACACACACACACACACACACACACACACACACACCCCTCACTCATCAAGTGAAAAGAGCCAAGAAATATCACCCAGTGAACCAGACTTGCACTAACTTCTGAGTTGTCTCTGAGGTCTAAGGACACTCTCACACTGCGGCTGCCCGCCAGCTCTGAGAACCGCTGTGGGCTCCTGTGAGACGGCGTGTCCCCGAGGACTGTCTTTGGTCTCTGAGTGGAGGAGTTATATTGCAGGGTTGGCCTGCACAGTACCTTTTTAGAAACTTTCTATCACATGCCCCATGTTAGCTCAATTAGATTAACAATTTCAAAATCTGCACCTGATGCACCACTGACAGTGTTGCAGACTTGAGTACAAGAAAGTTAAATTTAAAAAATTGTGTGGTGTGACCATCCAGAATTTTTAGGACAGGACTGATTTCAAATACTCTGAAATTATAAAATTTGGTACTTTTCTTTTCTTTCTTTCTTTTTTCTTTTTCTTTTCTTTTTTTTTTTTTTGTTTGTTTCTTTGTTTTTTTTTTGTAGCTTTGTGCCTTTCCTGGAACTCACTCTGTAGCCTAGGCTGGCCTTGAACTCACAGAGATCCGCCTGCCTCTGCCTCCCGAGT